GGGCCGGCCCTCAAAAAAGGATTTGAATTTTAAAAGTAAAAAAAAAATATTTTCTGTACTGTTGAGTGGTTTTACTATTTCATAAGTACTATTCTTTTACAGCATTATCTGACACTCAAGGGAATTTTCTTTTGAATGGGAATTTTGTTGTAAGTATGTCGAAAAAAGAAATCAACATACAAGGAGCTATTTTTGAGTACAGTGGTTCAAACAACTCAATTGAAAGAATTAACAGTACTGATCGGTTGGAAGAAGAACTAGTTTTGCAGGTAAGGTCTTGATAGTCGTTAATAAGACTTAGTTTTAATCATATTAAATTGTAATGGTTAAGTGCTTTGCATTTATTATTAAATATAAAAATGATGTCTTTTAAGACTATATCTTTTATGAATTAATTGTATGCTCCTTTGTATTTTTATTGAGGTTTTGTGTGTGGGTAATTTATACAACCCTGATGTACGTTATTCCTTCAATATCCCTGTGGAAGAGAAGAGCGACCTGTTCACATGGGATCCGTATGGACCATGGCAAGACTGTACCAAAATGTGTCAAGGTATGCTGGTGTTAAGTAAAAGAGACAAAAGTTGGTCCATGCTCATATAATTTGAGGTGCTTTTGAGTCTGCCTGTGGAATCCTCCCCACTGTCCACACACAATACCACACAGACATACAAGCTTTCCTATCTTTTTTCTCTTCCTACTTTCTCCTCACTCATTCTTTGTTTTGTATACCTAACAGCCTCATTTATCTCTACCCTTTTCAGCATTCTCCGTTACTGCTCCTTTCCTTTCATATTCTTATTCTCTCAGTCGCAGAAAGTTTCTCTAACTTGTAGACTGTTTCCTAGTGAAATACCTGCCCTTTTGTTTACTCCCCTCCACACACTTTCCTAGCCACCTGTCTCCTTCCTTTGGTGTTGGGGTATCAAACATTCTTTCATTCTTTTATTTTCCTTTCATGACTACAAGCAAATGTATTTGTACTGATGGCATGAATAACTGAAAGGAGCATAGTGAGAATTGGAAAAGCAGGGAAATTTACAGTAGAGAAAGAAAATGAAAAGACTGGAATCTTAGGGCAATCGGGGATTATGGATACTTAATTGTATAATACTATGTTTGTTCAAATCAGTAAAAATTTATTGAGGAGCTACTTTGTTTCAGATTATTAATAAGACCCTGATTCTGCATTCAAGTTTCAAAGTCTAGTGGATGAGACAGAGGGATGAGTAGATTATCTTAATTTTAAATGGTAAATGCAGTGCTACAGGTATGCACAGAGAGGACCACAGAAAAGATGGAGGGAAAAGTCTGTGAGGAGATTAAATGTGAAGATATAGAGAAGTTTGTATAGAATGGAAAAGTAGTTTCCATAGGGACTAGAGAAAAGTTTTGGGAATTTGGGAAGCAGTGGGTCTGAGGAGAGGAAGCTCAGAATAGTATAGAAATGAGCTGAGAGAAGGTGGGTGGCCAGAGGCAGTGACCACAGATGATGGGAAAGTGAGAGTCAGTCTAACAAACTGACTTCAAAGTGCCTGAGAAATTGTGCTGTCCCATTCAGTAAAAGGCACAGACTTGGTCCTGTGGTGATGGGACAGTGGTGCCCAGATGATGGTGTGGAAACAGGCGTTCCTGATTGGGCAGTGTCTCAGGGGAGGGAGACTGCAGTAGACGATGCCAGACTGACTGGGATAAATGCTAGAAGTGAGAACAAAGAGCTTTGGTAACACAGAAGAAGGAAAAATTCATGAGGGAACATTCTAAAATGTGGCGCACACACTAAGTAAAGAATAATAAGATCCAAAATGGAAGATTGAACAAGACAGGATGAGACGGTTTGCAAGTTCGAAGCAGGAGAGATCTCTGAAACTATTAATTCAATGTCACTTAGGGTACTATGATTATCTTCCTTTTTTTGTGTGTAACTTTGGTTTCTCTTAAGTGAAGTTCCCTCAGTTTTTTGTTTGTTTTTCTGTGTACTGGAAGTTATCAGTCTCCAAACTTTTTGTGAGAACTATAAATTTTGTCTTAATGTTTTCAAGCACATTATTCTATCAGTTCAAATTTTCCTTCACTTTTTCTTCATCTATTGGTACCCTCTTTTCTCTTGCTCTAATTTGTGTTACTTTTTAGGCCTGTTATGTGACTGTCATTTTGAGCTTTCCCTTCATTATTATCCTGGGAATTCTCTTCAACTTTCTTCTGTATTGGATTCCCTGTTTTCTAAATCTCAAAAATTCTTTTTATTTCACCATTGGGTGGAACATATCCCTCAGTATTTTCCTTAGAAAGGTAGTTTTTTGGAGACCTTTCATATCTGAAAATGACATTATTCTTTTCTTACACTTGATCAATAGTTTAGCTGGTATAAAATTCTAAGTTAGATTATTTTCCTTCAGAATTGTGAAAGCCTTGTTTTCTGGCTTGTTTTTAGATTTCCTGTGCTTGTATGGACACTTTCTATTCTGGAAGTTTTGTGGATCCTCTCATTAGTTCTAGTGGTGGGAAATGTCAGGGCAGTGTGCCTTTATGTGGGTGTTTCTTTCATCTATCTTCCTAGGGAATTAGGATGCCATTCCAATTTGGAAACATAAATTCTTTGATGAGAAACTTTATTCCATCATTTCTTTGATAATTTCCTCACATAAAATTTTCTCTTCCATCTTTCTGAAATTTGTATTTGTATTTGGATATGCAACCTTCTGGACGGATCACCTATTTTCTAATTTCTTCTCCCAATTTACATTGTTTTCTTAGTGTTTATTCTCATAACATCTTGCTTTTGTTTCATAGATGTAGTATCTTACGTCTCTGAGAGTACTAATCATAGTCTTCATGTTTTCTTTTCCTTGACTTTTTTCTTTCATCTTAATTCTATTTTGTTTTTCCTTATTTTGATCTCTTTTGCATTACTGGCTTTCCTAAAATGTCTGCTGATTCTTTGTTATTTGTTCCTACTTAAGAAATACTAAAATGCTGATTGAAAGTCCTGTGTGGGTCAGACAAGTCAAATAGGGGCCTTTTATAAAGTAATTGGGTCACTAAGTAGCTCTTTCATATGTCATTGAGGGAGAGACCCCAAATGTCATTGTCAGTTATTTTTTTCTTGGGCTGAAGAGTCTCCCAAGAGAAGAATCCTCCCTTCTTTTGGTGGTCAGCAAGGGGACAGGGGAACAATGTAAGTGGGCTTGGAGGCAAAGGAAAATGGAGAGCCCAGTGGTCCTGGATCTCATCATTCAGTATGGAGTTTAAATCAGTTCTTCGTTTTTCCAGGCCTACCCCTCACACATTCACATCTTCACAGGGACCTGATATTTTCGATTCCCGGGCTTTTCTTGGATTCTATGGCATAAATGGTTTGTTTCTTATTCACTTCCCCCCTCCATAGGCTTAAGTTTCAGCTTCCTTGGCTCTGTTAAATAGTTATTTTCTATCCACTCTTCACATTCAGAATTTCCTTTTGTTACCTACTGTGTTTCCTTTTTTATTCCTTTTGTTCTTTTATGTTAATGCCTTTTCAAAATTCCTTTTAGTTATTTCAGTTGGTATTTAGGAAGGAGCAGAGATAAACCTGTATGTTCATGTTTAGCTTACTGGAAATATACAGATGAACTTTGATAAAACAGAAATTTGATCATGTCACTGACTGCTTAAACTCTTTCCTGTCCCCTCATTGCAGAATGTGTAAAGTTCAATTGACTCTGGCCCCTTATAACTACTTCTCTTAGTTTACTTTCACTGCATACAAACAACCGCTAAATCTCAATGGCTTAGAACAACAAAGGTTTATTTCTCACTTATGCTATGTTTTGGCTGCTAATTGGCTATGACTCTTCTCAAGCTTGCTGTCTGCTTGGTGTCCATGTCTTTTTTTTTTTTTCTTTTGGTGAGGAAGATTAGCCCTGAGCTAACATCTGTTCCCAATCCTCCTCTTTTTGCTGAGGAAGATTGGCCCGGGGCTAATATCCATGCCCATCTTCCTCTCCTTTATATGTGGGATGCCGGCCACAGTATGGCTTGATAAACGGTGCATAGGTCCCTACCCAGGATCCAAAACTGCAAACCCCAGGCCGTCGAAGCAGGAAGTGTGAACTTAACCACTATGCCACCGGGCCAGCCCCCATGCCATTGTTTAAAAAATTAATAGACTTTATTTTTAAGAGCAGTTGTAGGTTTATAGAAAAATTAAGCAGAAAGTTCAGAAAATTCCCATACTCTCCCTTCTACCACCGCCCCCCCCCCCCCGCCGTTCCTCTATAACTAACATCTTGCATTAGTGTGGCACATTTGTTACAATTGGTGCATTATTAT